TCTTCGGTACTAGTATTACATTTGCCAGCCATTCTGAGTACTTGACTTCTTTGATGACATTTGCGTCTAACAGCCTCTGTACTTCGGCCTTTGCTGCTAAGATTCTATCCTCCGACATTTTCCTTTTGTTGCTGCTTCCTTGGCTTTATTCTAGGGTTGATGTCAAGGGAGTGTTGTATAATATCCCTGCTGACCCCTTTCAGGTCGGAGACTGACTAGGTGAAGACGTCTTTGTTCTTGGCTAAAGTTTCTATGAGTTCTACTTCTTCTTTCGACAGGTTGCCTCTAATAGTGACCTTTCTGTCTGGGATTGCATCTTCCAATGGGATTGACTTTGTTTCTTCTTGATCTTTGAGATCTGTTTTGCCCTATGGCATGTCTGGAGGCTCTGAAAAGTTTCTTTTAGCTGCTTTGACAGAATTGATATTGCACTGCGATTTGTAGATGGCTCTTTCTATGTTTCTTGCCTCCTTCTGATTGCTATGGACTGTGATGGTTCCATGCAAGGCTAGCATTTTCATACACGTATAGCCCATATGGATGGCTGCATTGAACTTGTTTGCAAACCCTCTTTCAAAGATGGCATTATAGGGGTAGTAGAGATATACTACATCGAAGGTCACATATTCTGTTCTTGCATTTTCCTGACCTCCGAAGGAGACTGGTAGGGATATTTTTCCTAATGTATCGATCATCTTTCCTCTGAAACCAATTAATGGTGAGTCCGAAGGCTGCAACTCACTTCTGCTGAGCTTCATCTGGTCGAAAGCATTGACAAAGATAATATCTGCAGAGTTTCCGAAGTCTATAAGAACCCTATTAATTTCCCATCCTACAATGTTAGCCTTGATCACCATGGCATCGGTGTGAGGGTAGCTTGCCAACTATAGATCTTGTTCTAAGAAGGTGATTGGCGTCTTTGACCAATCTGTGTAGCGCATTGGGTCTTGAACTGCTATGTTGTTGATCAACCTAAGGTGATCTTTTTTCTGCTTCTTTGTCTAGAACTCCATCGAGGAGCCTTCGGCTATAGGCAATATCATGCCGATGGTGGGTAGGGGTGTGTGAGGGTTGAGTCGGTTTTCTGGGTTGGGTTCATTTTTGGGTGTTGCCGGCTGTGTTGGTGGAGGTGGAGGCAATGCCTCTAGCTGCCTATTGTGTACTTGGGATGACTGGTTGGTCTCAATGAATGTTATGTGTGAAGGCCTCGAGTTTATGTAGGTGAGGTTGGCTTTTGCCCATTGGTTGCTAGTCTGCCCTTGCTGCTGAGTACTTGGTCGCCATGCAGGTAGGAAATTTGGATAGTAGGCGACATCTAAAGTCGATGGGTGAATTTGGGTAGAGTTTAGGCTTGGGTATATTGGGTAGTATTGCTGCTGGGGAGATGCAGCGAAGGTATGGTTTACCTCTCTTGTAGGTTGTTGTGGCGGAGGTTGTGGATTTGCTCTATTGTTGATCCTTTCTTGGGTCTCCTTAGCATCCGGGCAATCCCTAGTGATGTGCCCCTTGTTCTCTACATAAAAGAAGTAGTACTGCCTTCACTGCATTTGGTTTTGGTTTCTATTCTAGTTCCTACCTTGGCCATTTTCTTTGCCTTCGGCTTGTTTCTGAGGCACATTGTTTGGGCCTGCCTTCGCCGATTGCTGCCCTTGTTGGCTGCTTCCTTGCTGCTCTATATTAAAGACTTGCTGGCTTTGCCCTTGCGGAGGCTACAACTGGCCTTGGCTTTTGTTGCCCCTCTAGGTGTTCCTACTGTTGCCCTAAAATTGCTTGCTCTGATTTTGCTCTTCTAGCCTTCTATGGAGGTCATTGTCAAATCTGCAATATTTCTCAAATTCGTTGTAAAGGTCTTCGATGGTCCTTGGCTTTTCCCTAGCTAGATCAGCTACGAAGGCCCTTGATTGCTACTTCGATAGCAATGTCTTCTGGGACATTGTGTGCTTTTGCCTTCATTTGCACAAAATTTTGGAAGTAGTCTTTTAAGGCTTCTTCTTGATTTTGTTTGCATTGAAACAGATCCATGGAAGTCAAGGATTCACTTGTGAATCCCTTGAAATTTGTTAAGATCTTGTCACGAAGGTCTTCCCATGAATACACAGAACTTGGCTTCAGCATCGAATACCAGGCTAGCGCGTCGCCTTCAGCTGTGATGACGAAAGATTTGGCTAGCACTGCTTCATTTCCACCAGTGGAAGCTATTGCTGCCTCAAAGCTCATGATGAATTGGCATGGGTCTGATCTTCCATTTAATTTGGGTAAAGTGATGGGTTTGTTGGAGGGAGGCCAAGGTGAGCTTAGGATGCCTTCAGATAGTGGTGATTTAGAATCAATGGTTCTGTGGGTTTGTGGCAAAGTGTAAGGCGTGCCGAAGGTTGGTTGAGCTATTGTACATGGCGGGAGGTTGGGTTGGCTTTGATTTGCTGAGTGGAACTGGTTGGATGTGTTGAAGCTAGATTCGAAAGGCTGCATACTTTGTATCTCGGCCTGTAGGATGGCTAGCTATTGCCTGATCTTCGCTGCCTGAGCTGATGTTTGGGCTGCTCGTTGATTTGCGACGAAGGCTGCTGCGACCCTATCTCTTTCTTGCTACATGCTCTGTAACTGAGCCTATAATTGTTGAAGCTCTTGCTCTGGGGTTGGATTTGGGGCTTGCTGCTACTTGGATGCTAGAGGCTGGTCTTCGACGGTCGGCTCCTATATAGCCTAGTCTTCTAGGGCGGTGGCGTAGGTGCTTCGGGCGCTGCGCCTGGATCTTCCCCTTGGTGCGGGATGCACAGGTGCCCTTGCTGAGGCTGCTCTTTTCCTTGCCATTGTGAGTTTTGCTTGGCCAACGCGCGGTGCGCACCAATGTTAGAAAACTGAGGGTTTCCAGCAGGTAAGGCACGAAAGGCCTTCGCCCAGTCAGTTGCTCTGGGCGAAGGTATGTGAAGTGGAAGGTGGGTCCAAGCTCAATTAGGGTTTCATAAATGTATTCACCAACCTCCTTTACATAGCATCCGGCTTCCCCTTTATAGGGCACTATTCGCTACTACTTTACGGTACAAATTTGTCCTTTGATAGCTAAGGTACATTCCTAGAATATCCTAACACTAGTACAAATCTTCAGGGGCATCCCGGGTCTTGTCCACCTGCACCGCCTTTGCTTCTTGGGCTTTAGCTGCAGGCCCATGGGAGGCCCGTCTCCGATCTTGGGCCACGGTGCTGCAAGGACCCCTTTCTCTCGGGCCAAGATAGCATAGCCTACGTCTGAGCCACCGGAGCCTCCGCCTTCGCTCCTGAGTCTCTGCCTGTGGACTCCTCCGGACATCTTCAGGGTCATGCTTGGGCCTCCGTCCCTCTCGACGGCCAGTGGCGGAGGCCTTCTTACCGCTGGCGGAGGCTTCCTGGGCTCCTTCCCGTAATGTGCACGGCCTCCACCTAAATTGTTGGGGTCTTCGCTCCATCGCAGGCCCCACGTGAAGGCTTCGCCTGACATCCCTGCAAAACACTTACACAAATGTTCCAATGATATTAGCTTATGTTTGCACTAGCCTCCGCTATTCGTGTATTGGTGTTCCAACACCACGCTCACCTAATAACTACTGAAACATACCACAGATATCATTACCTCCAATTGGACTCCGTCGACAAGACCATGTGCCATTTGTCATAGATAGATGCAAAGGTTTGGCCTACTGGTTTTGACATAAATATCGGAGGGGCCCGTAGAAACGATAATCGCTGAAATTTTGAAAAAAAACTGTGAAATTTAAATGAAATCTCAACCGAATGAAAAATAAAATTAGTGATATATGCATTTACTGGGGTCACCGGTAGGACTCAAAACATAATGAAATTCGGTGGAAATTCCGAATCCTGTGTAGATGCCACCAGGGCCCTCCATGGAAATTAGCCATACTAATGGAGATGGTATCAGTGATTGTAACACCTGAGAAGGCAAGAGCAATGGTCTGGTTCGCTAAGAACTAATTGTCATGACTGATGATACCAATCACAATCAATAAGTTCGTGTCACAAATTGGTTATAATACCAATCGCGTGATCATCATGCAACCGACTCGTAATACCTCTATTTAATATTCAGGGATTAACTAACATCTAATTTTCTAAATTAGTTTATCATTAAAAGTTTCGTTAAATTGAGTATGTACAACTAAATCAAAATTTATTATTTGTATTGTCTCTATTTATTTCTTAACACAATATCTATTTGGATACTCTATTTGGTTGTGATAAATTTATTAATTACTCTATATATGTTTCCACCCTTTTTGGAATGCATCTATGGATTTTTAATATGTATTTAATTGAAATCTTAGATTGAGCTATTACATCTTGTTGCATCCCCTTTTCTCTCGTCATGAATCTATATTTTATCTTTCAACTTTGAATCTTATTAGTTCTTGTAATTTTTATCCATGTGTTAAGTTCAAACTCTAGTTTTGTTTGCATCTTTTATTCAAACTTTATTTTTTATATTTTGTTAAAAAAAGATTTTAGGTCTTCCACTACACTTATAATTATTTCGATGGCATAAACAATCGAATCCGACTACCCAGTCACAGAGTCAATGGCCCTATGTAAATAATTTTTCACTTATATCAGTAAAAAGAATAGGTAGGGACCTACACTACGGTTCCCATAAAAATTGCATTCGAGAATAGGAAGCCTTTTTCATATTCTCGAAAGTGGATTATTGAAACACCAGTACACCAGTTGACAAAAAGAAAGAGAAAAGAAACACCAGTACACCACCTAAACTTTTACTACAAGCGCAACAATAATATATAATTACTAGTCAGTGACTAGGATGATAGTAGAAGTGTAGAACCCCTATGTGCCACTGTGGAAGGAAAAAAACTATCTTGGAGTTGTGACCGATATGGTCACATCATTGATACTGCATGACTCAGTAGCTGTGGATGTCTCTTCATTTCCGACCCTCATATTGAAATATGCTGGCTGCTTAGGCTCAGCCACGATCATAGCCGTCTCACTGCTTAGGTGGTCGCCCGATCAGTCGCATTTTCTTGTACACATAGCAATGCAATTTTAATGCACTTAGTCATTTCTGCTGAGTGGCTCTTGGGAACCAAAAATGCATCAACTAGATCAATCCACCTTCCATCGTCCCATAATTGCCATGCCTGTATGCAATATGGTCGCAGGTCATAAGTTCGAATCAAATAAACAAAACAATTGCTAAACTCTCGTGCCAGTGTCTTAAAAACTCACATATCCAATGAGATTGATGAAATCACCACATTGATGGCTACCGGAGTTCCGTTTTCCTCTAATGATCTCAAGAACAAGGACACCAAAGCTGAATATGTCGGACTTGACAGAGAAGATGCCCTCCGAAGCGTACTCAGGTGCCATGTAGCCACTAAAACGGTATGGAAAACATGTGTCCAAGTCAATATATGTTGTTGATTTTGAATATAAATATTCATAGATGGATTTATTTTAATGAAACTTACTATGTACCAACAACTCTTCTTGTAGTGTTTCCTTCAATGTTGTTTGAGCTGAATATTTTTTCTAGCCCGAAATCTGAAATTTTTGGATTCATTTCTTGGTCCAGGAGAATGTTACTTGGTTTAAGATCTCGATGTATAACACGCAGCCTAGAGTGCTTATGTAGGTAATTAAGCCCATGTGCTATTCCCTCAATTATTGCTAGAGGTTTGGGCCAATCCAGTAATGTTCTTCTATTTTCATCTGCACATAAAAATTCATATTAGTAGAAAACACTTGGAAAATAATCAGAATTTTGTACATCTCAATGAACCTATACTCGTGGGGATGATAGAAACAAAATCTTGAGTGAACTTTTGTCAATCTGCTGCGTTAACAAATCATATCTAAACTAAATTTTAAAAAGGCAATGTATACCGAAGATGAAGAGATCCAAGCTTTTGTTTGGCAGGTATTCATAAACCAATATTTTTCCTCTTCTTGAGAGCAACATCCCAAGAGCCTAACCAAATTACTGTGTTGGAGTTTGGCTATGAGCTGGACTTCATTTTTGAACTCTGTGAAACCTTGCCCTGAATGTGAAGCAAGTCTCTTGACTGCTATCTCCAATCCCTCAGCAAATTGGCCCTGGGAAAAACAGAGTATAATTAAAAAGTTAGGATCTTCCAACTCTACTCTATTGGTAGGCTGGTTCAATATTTCCCTGTCTAGGGTGAATATACCAGCAGGATAGTGACTCTAATCCACAAAGTATTTTCCTCTTAGGGGCCGTTCGGCTGGTATGAATACCAGCCGGAAATCACTGTGCTGAGCTGAAAAACACTGTTCACTCTCTCCCAAATTCCTCCCAGCGAACAGGGCCTTAATGAAAAACATGCGCAAAAGTATTGTTGGATTGGTTTATATATACTGCTAAATAATTCTCAGTAAAGGAGAAAATGGCAACTATATGTCTTTTTTCCTAATTAATTTACCTTGTAGACAGCGCCGAAGCCTCCTTCTCCAAGCTTGTTTTCATCTGAGAAATTATGTGTGGCCTCCAGTATCTGTTCAAACTCAAACACCGAGAACTCTGAATTCTTCCCGTCCAAAACTTGTTCTTCTCCCTGCAATTCTTGAGATCCTGCTTTTGGCCTCATCGTTTTACCTGTGGGTATATAAATGAGAATCTTTGTTTCACGCATGTTTAGTCATAGCTTATATGAACATATACCATTAGTTGAATTTAATTTATACAATATGATGGAGCATAATTTCAGTATGCAACAGATGAACGTACCTTTCCTGTACCTTCTGAACCAAGGGGAGTAGAAAATGAAGCAGAGAACTGCTGCTGCTGCTGCTAGAGGAACTAGCACAACTGCAATCACCCAGAGTTTGCTCTTGTGTTTCGCCAGTATAGTTGGAGTTGGAGTTGGAGCTGGCGCCGGCACCGGTCCCAGACGAAGCATGGGTTGGCTGTCGTAGAACGAATAGGCCTCGTACCTGAAATAACAGCGTATCACGTGGATCTGCGCTCCCATCCTCAGGGCCATGGTGGAGTTGACCATGTCGACGAGGCGCCGGAGACACGCCAGGCAGTCGCCGGCAGACAGGTCCGGTGTGCACTGCGCCATGGAGTACACCGTCGGGAAGGTGGTGCCACTGTCCATGACGCCCGTGGCGAACCGCCTGGGCGCCGTGCTGGCCGCCCTTTCCACGGTATCCACCACCAGCTCGTGGATGAGGCCCGTGATGAGGCGGACGTCGGCGGCGTCTCCGGTGACGTTCTTGATGTTCCATCTCACAAAAGGAGCGTCGTAATAAGTTTGTCCTGTGGCGTTGGAGGGGTCGACGACGTTGTCGCGGGACCAGAAGACCGGGCACGCTTTGTAGGAGTAGAAGCCGTCGTTGTAGCACTGCTGGTGCTGGTCCGGCGGCGGGGTTATATTGAACGCCTGGGCGACGCATTCGCCGCAGGCGGTGGCGTTGTAGTCGCCTTGGCAGAAGGCGAGAGCGTAAACGACGTCGGGGGCTTGGCCGACGATGGAGGTGGCGAACTGTACGGGGGAGGAGGAGGTGTTTTGGGGGAGAGTGGCGGCCACCTGTTTAAGGTTGTCGCAGAATACGTCTGCAGCTGCCGGAGATGGCCTGAGGCCGCCGCCGCCAAGGACGAAGAGCAGGACGCCAAAGATGACAAAGTTCATCATGGCTAGGCTAACCTTACCTGCTTCAAGTTTTTCACTTACGGCGGGTTAGACGATCATCTGGGTAGGTGTCCTTATTTATCAGCAATTCCATCACCATCAACGACTTGACTTGGAAAAAAAAAAGAATGGAAAATTTTCAGTTGATTTCTGTTTTTCTGTTTCTGCACCGGTGACTCAGCGAGTTGCTTTCTGCACCTGCAGTCAATACCTTACTCGGTCGTCTTCTCCGGCAAGAATAGAATTAGCTAACTTGATTTTTCTTTGTTTTAGAACAAAAAGTTCACTTCGTATTTTACCTATATTAGAACTTTTATTCCTTCAGTGAAACTTGTTCTTGCGCCCTTAAACTGAGAAACCTGCTTGGCTCTGTTCAGCACAGCTTATGGTGATAGATAGATGCCTGTACCTAAGCGACTTCCGACTATGAGCATGAAACGCAGAGAACCAATTTGAGATGTGTGTCTTGGTCAAATTACGGTGAGTAGTGATTTGATTGATACGGTGTTTCGAGCATTTCAGTTGTATGATTTGGGTATGTTCAATTGTCCATGATTATATTTCCGGCAAATCGGAGGCAGCGGAAAAGTGGCTTTCAGATTTCTGGAGAACCGGAGGCAGCGGAAAACTACCTTCCAGACGCTATGTTGCAGTAGCTAAAACTATCCTTTTTTCAAAACAAAAAAAAAAATTCCAAGACAGATCTACCGTGTCTAGTCAGGACGCTCTCGTTCGCGGGCCGCAACGGCCTACTAATCTTAGCCTCTCGTCAACTCGCCCTTTACGTAGCCTACTGCCTCCATTCTCCACAAAAATCACCGCAGCTCGAGCGGTCACAGCGGACCTCGCTCCACCACACTGCCTCACCGTTCTCCACGGCGGCCAGGGCCTGACGGCCAGCATCTGCACTGTGCCTGAGCACGGCCACTCGCCTTCCTCCCTCTCCACCGCCTCCAGCCCGCCACGGCCTTCTCCAGACCCGCCACGACCATCTCCACCGGAGCAGCGACAACTCACGCCAGCACGAGATCGGGCGCGTCCAATCCAGCGTCGCGCCTCCATCCACCTCGCCCGTCACGGAAGGGGAGGAGTGTGCCTGCACCTGGGGAGGCTTGCGCCTGCGCCCCCATCCACCTCGCGCCGTTGGCAGGAAGGGGAGGCCGGTGCCACCGCAATTTCCCACCAGGTAGGCCATGGCCGCTGGCGACACTGTGTTTCAAGTGTTTCAGGGCGTTTTTAGACATGTTGCAAGCCTATGTTTCAAATATTTCAGTTGTTTCAGATGTATATTTGAAGTGTTTTGTACGGATGTTGCAAAAGTAGATCGGGATGTTGCATATGTTGCAATGGTTGTATATGTATGTTGCAAGCGTATGTTCCCAATGTTTTATGAGAACATCTATTTTTTAAACATATGTTGCAAGTGTGTTTATCTGGATGTTGCATATGTTTCACACATATGTTCTAAGTGCTTTATTCGGATGTTGCGTAATGTTTGAAATGGTTTTCAAGTGTTTTTAGGTATTTTTGCAAGTGTTTCAGAGGCATGCTTCAAGTGTTTCACATGTCTTCTTTTGTATGTTGTAAGTGTTGCATCTTAATATTTCAAAAGTAGATCAGGGTATTGTACATGTGATGCGAGTGGGAAGCGGGAGGGGACGCGAGCGGTCCCCCGCGCGCGGTCTGGCGGCGTGGGTGACGTCCGAGACGGGGCGGGCCCATTGCTAGGGCGCTCGCTCGCAAGTCTAAAGCGGATGGGTGCTGTCTCGACGCTATCGCCCCGGATTGGACGTCCGGGTGCTAGCATGTCCGTAGTCAGAATTTAAAGTTTCATCCTACTTCTAGAAGCATCTATTTTGCTTTAAGGCTCTCTAGCATTGTCCTTAGGCTTAATATATTTTTGGAGATTTATTTAGGTAAAAAAGAACGTTCCCCTCTGCAAACAAAAAAATCTGGTTGCCAATCCTGTCCTTAAAAGTCACCTAGGTTTTTAAGTCTTTTAAAACAATAATTCAGGCAAAAAAATGCTGAGACCCTTCGCCCCCGTGGAACAGGCTGATAGTTGAGTCTCCAACTCTATTGTCTTCATCTCAAATTTTTAGGTTCAAAGTACGACATAGATGCGTCATATAATCAGGTGTCATTGTCGGTGACCAACAAATTAGAGATGCCAAGTTGCCAACAGTTTTCCACAAACGACGACCGTCTACAGTAGACTATGGCCGATGCTTAGGTAGTGGTCGGCGAAGCTATCAACTCAGCGTTTTCCTAGCATGCAGCAGCAACACAGGTCCAAACTACTACTCACAGATCACGTAGAGAGAGAGAAGATTGTGATGGCATGCTTCTCAGCGAGAAGTAGAAGTTTTGATTTCTTTAATCATTATTCACCTTGATCATCTTCAGTTTGTAGAGTGGTGCTTTCACTTTTTGCAATTTTTGTTCCCTACATCCTTAGATTATTCTTTATTGGTTTAATTGATCATTCAATTTGGGTGTCCATCGCTACATTTGTGGTGTGGGCGTCTAATTCTTTGTTGTTGCCTAACATGAGTGCTGATGCTCGTGTCTTGTTGCAATCGGTTGATGTTACATCATTGATTCCTGGTCTGAATTGTTGTGTTTATTTCAGAAATCAGGTTGTGATGATGATGCGTGCATTCCCCTCATTCATCATGGTTCCAAACTGATTGGGCCCTGGCTTTGCACTGTGCTACGTTTACATGGTTCATATGTGTGCAAGGCATGATGTTTTAGATGCCTACTATAGCTTTTTTAGTGACATGGACTGCATAGCTGCAAAAGCACGTTATGTGCATTTGATTTGTCTAATCCGTCAAACTGTGGCAGGCATTACTACTAAGTTGATTAGTATCGTTACTATTTGCTTATGCATATGCAAAGTATTTTGGAAAGGAGTCTCACTATTGTCTATTACTTTGTTGCAGGCTGGCACAAGAATATACTTTGATATGAACAATTGGTATAGAGGAATGCCAACAAGAGCATGTTGCATTAGGTTTATCTTGGTAATTTTTGGCTGGCATCATAAAAGTACCTGGTAGTTATTTTTCATCATCTTTTGATTGCATTGTAGGTTAGAGATTATTATTTGTTATATGCTAGCTAATTTAGTGTACAGTAAAACCAAAGTGGGACAACTTCTAATATCCTATGTATTAAGGGAAGATATTTCAGCCTGATCGGCTGGGGCTGGCTGGCTGGCTGGGCTGACCAGCCCCCTCACAAAAACATTGTTCATCTGAACCAGCCAGCAGTACTTCTCTCTCACATAAACGAATCAGCAACGATACGAACCAGCCAACCGAACAGGCTGATTAGAGTTGGCTTTTAGATCTGTACCGTTTACCCTATACAAATTTATAAGAACATTACATATATTAGATAATGTCATCCCTATGGCTCAGTGGGCTTATATATTTATTAATTTTTAATGCATTCTGATGTGTGGTTGAGTTGAGTTCAAGTTAGATATGTGGTGCCAACCCGCGCGCAAGGGCACGTATTAATCACTAGTATACAATATGAGCAGTGACTGGTTGACCTCTAGAGTTATATAATGTCATAATGGCATTTAGAAGTTCCATGTTTTATGATAGGAGGTAATGTGTATTTTAATCTAAGAAGACTTAGTTCATTTATTATGTGTCAAGGAGGATAATTAAATATGAGAGACACATGAAGTATCAACACTCTGGTACATCCCGCAAACGAGCCAATGGCTCAGTGGTGGGGCTTGCTTAGTGGAGCATGCACGGTCTGGGTTTGAGCCCGCTCGATATAGGTTTTGCATCGGGTTTTTTTCTTATTTTTCTGTAGCCTCAAGCGCGGATGTTCCACAATGTTCAAGATGTTGTGCCCGCTTAGAGTCTGGTAGTCTTCGAGTACCTCTCAGTCGCGTATGTGCCCGTCACGCTTGGAGGTATCTTTAGTTATTGGTGCAGTAGGCCTAGCTTATATACAGAGTGCGTGGGCGTGCTTGTGGTGTGAGTTTGTGAGCTTGTACTTGATACTTGAAGTATTTTATGAAGCATAAAAAAACACTAGTACTTATCTTTGATAATGAACAAGCTGATCTCAATATGTGGAAAAAGCAGTTTAAAGAGGAACTTGGCCAAGTGTGTACTAATGCCAAACCAGCTATAGAGTCATCCCTACATAATTGGACAAATAGTTATATGTTATAGCTTCCTTTTTTTCTTTTGGGCATGGATGCCTTGTGCTTTTCTTTGTCTTTCCTCCATGTAAATACCATTCTTTCATTTAATGGAAAAGAAAAAAATAGGTAGGGGACCCCTGCTGATTTCAAAAAAAAAACACTGGTACATCCGGCATCCTGAATACGAAATCTAGGGGTTGTTCGGCAGGACTAAAAAATAAGTCAAAATACTGTTCCGGCTGATTGTTGTGGAAAAAAAATGCTGTTCTATCTAAAATCACTGTGTATGTGAACAGTATTTCGTGTCTGCGCTGGCCAGCCAGCCGAACACTCGGCTAGCTTTTGCAAACATTTGGAGCTGTTTTAACTGTTCAACAGAAGAGGTCTCTCTTTATCTTTATTAGGCCCAAACGTGGCCCTCAAGCCCATTAGTGGGACCACTTGTTCGATCCATACGGCCCAACTGCCTACCAGCCCACCACCACCAACCGTCCGACCCTTCGAGTAGTCCCACACCGACGAGCCGCAAACCACCTAGCCCACCCGCCGGTTGGTCACGCACCTGCCCGATCCCGATCTCCGGCCGACGCCATGGCAGCGCCCTCCGCCGTCGCCGTCGCCGTCGCGGCCGTCATAGGGGTGCTCGTCCTCCTTTCCGCGGAGGCCTCGGGCGCGCGCCTCCCGGGTCGCGGCGGCGCCGTCCGGGGAGCGGCGCTGCCGCGCGGGGGAGCGCCGGCCACGGCGGTGTTCGCGCTGGGCAGCTTCTGGCGGTCGGAGGCGGCGTTCGGGTGCCTCCCCGGCGTGATCCGTACCTCCGTTGGCTACGCTGGCGGCTCCAAGGCCAACCCCGAGTACCGCAACCTCGCCGACCACGCCGAGTGCGTCAAGGTGCCGTCCAAGGAGCTTCATGTGTAGTGTAGCCGTGTGCTTGAAGAAATTGGGACATGTCTGGTCTTGGCGTGTTGGCTTGCTTTATCGTGCATTCATGCTTCATTTTTGTTTATTGATTTAGTTTGGAAGTATTGTGCACTGAAGTGTTCCCTGAGCAATGATGATTGGCATTGACGGACTGTCTCTCTTAAACCAATTAGGTTGAGTATGATCCCCGGTTGATTCACTACAGGCAGCTTTTGGATGTGTTCTGGGCAAGTCATGACCCACGGGAGGTGTTTGGGCAAGGGCCTGATGTTGGCAACCAATATAGGTAATTGAGTTATCATCACCGTCTGGCAAAAGTGGTCTTTTTTTTTTTCTTGCATGACTTGCGGTGGCCCCTTTGTCTAGTAAGTTTGTGATAATCTGTACTTGTGTCCTGTGCCATCGTCAGACTAAAGCCATGATGTTTTTCCTTCAATCATGTTATTTTGAAACTGATAATAAATTTGATTGACAAGCGTTCTGTGCCCAGTTCATGTTAGGCGAATTTTAGTTACAGTGATTGCATGATGCTTTTATCAGATTAAAAAGTCACCATTTTTACTTCAATTCATGGTATCTGGATTTATAATAGATTGGGCTAACATGCATCTTTTACGTTATGATGTAGATGTATCATGCCACTCGTATTTTAAGCAAACGATTTTCATGAATTGTGAACGAACATTATGGCTGTTATGTGATTGGATAGGTTCAAAAGACATGAACATAATTGTGGAGTCACTGATGTGGTTGCAGATCTGTTATCTTCACTAATGGAACCATTGGGGCCAGATTGGCTGCTCTTAGCAAAGAAAAAGAACAAGCTAAAGATCGTAGCAGTGTTATTACCACAGAGATCCAACCATTGGGGGTGTTTCATCCTGCTGAATCAGAACATCAGGTAGCAATTCCACTATACTTCCCTTTGATGATCCAAATGCAATTCATTATGCTACTTTTTATTTCCTATTTGCATTTATATGAGCTGAATTTCTATGCTAGAAATTTGAACTGAAGCGCAAACCATTCCTCTTGCAATTGATTGGGAATTTGCCGGAGGAGGAGCTCCTGACATCAACACTAGCTGCAAAACTGAATGCATATGCCGCTGAGCTCTGTCCTGCGAATACCCAAAAGAGAATTAACTCCAAGATTGATGAGGTCACAAAGAAAGGATGGCCCATCTTAAGGGACATTTAGCTCATACTAGCTCCTGGACTCAAACCGATTGATACAATCTAGACACAAGCGAGGTGCATGGTTTTGTAGAGAAGATTTTTAGGAATACTCAGTTGTTCACCATTGCCATGGTGACCTCAGTTATCCATTCTTCACTTTGCTCACAAAGATTATATAGTTGTTCATAGCATCTTCATTGAGATTGTTAGAAACTGTGTGTTACTCCATTTGTAATCCATATTCATGGTCAAAGCTTATTGAACAGACAATAGTTTTTGTATTTTTGGTTGTTCATTTGTGTAGATATTTTGTTTTTATTTAGTAGAGATTGTGTTTGTTGTGATTGATGATGCATGTAAATATGACCATGAAAGAATCATGTATTCAGTTTGTCTTTGGGGAAAAAAAAAATATAGTTTGTCTTTGGGGATAAAACAATGGCTAATATGACAAAAAAATTTATGTCATTGCAGAAAAAAAAACAATGTGGTATTGCGCATTTGACATAAAAAGTTATTGAAAAATCACTCTAATATTTCTGTTCAAATGCATTTATCTTTCTCATCTTTGCTTGATCTAGTAGTTGAGAAAAGAGTCAAAACAATTAGACATGTAGAGTTGCCTTGTTTTGGTTTAGAGCCTAGCTAAATCATAGCTACTTCTAAAATCTGGAGTGCTATGGTACATCTGCCCTGTGTATAGCCCAGGTGTAACTTTCGCAACATTAGAAACCCGGACATGTAAACAATCACAACCGACAATCGATGTTGCAATCCAAAAATGCTACTACCCATTAGCACCATCCAATCTCAGTTTCCTCTAAAATCTCAACTCAAACTCATGTGTAACCTCGCCTCAAACTCATGCCGTAAGTTTTCGCCTCAAACTCATGGTGTAAGTGTTGTAACCTCACTTATGGTGTAAGTGGTGTAACCTCACCTTAAACTTATGGTGTAAGTGGTGTAACCTCACCTTAAACTCGTGGTGTAAGTTTGTTTTGGGACCAAATGAAATAGCAGTGAGAGTGGAGTTGCATCTCATGTCGTTGTGGAAGTAACTAGCACTGCAAAACACACAAATGCGGCAATGGCATGGGGTTATATAGCAAGCCATATACCAAAATTTCAGTTAGTTAACAGTAGGGTTAACTAGAATGCACATTGAATGAGTATGACATTTTCCACAAAAGCAAACTAAGAGCAATGGAAAACCAGGGACTAATTTCAGTTGAAGCAATAGTACAGTGTGTGATGTTGAATGGTGGAACTCATGAGTCATGAGCAATGTCATAAAATTGGTTGATTTTGGTACAACTTCATGTGGACCCTCATTGTTATATTGTTTTCCATCTCAGTACAAGGAAGACATGTAATTAGTGTACTTGAGGTCCTGCAAAAGCTATTTATTTGGTACATTGAATTTCGACTCTAGGGAAGAAATTGGATATCCCAGAATTATAGCTCATTGCAATGTATTCATTCATAATATTCTGAGGCTTGACATGTTTTTCCCTACGTTCCATAAGTCGTCATCTCATTGTAAGCAAGAAGTTTGTAAATTAGCACTCATCACAGACATCATCACTTTGCTTGAAGTACCCTGTTCTCCATTCTCGCCTGAAAGCTGCCCAACCACGCATTCCAGAGTACAGAACAAGAGAACGTTCAGACTTTAGAACAAGCCAGTTCAGAGTTCAGAACACGTGGAAGTTAAAGAATTCAGAACAAGACAGAACCCGAAACAAATGCATCTGACTTCAAATATTATGAAACCCTATGGCCTAGTACGATAAACTAACATGGCCTTGGTCTAAAAAAAAAACATGGCCCTACACTTTCCATTTTTCGCATGGTTATATACACTGAAAAATGAGCAGTATACGCTTTCCTCTGACCTCTGAAGATTTTTTAGAATACTGACGGACTTGACCCATGTAATCGATCTGATATTTGGTTGGATCGAACTCTGACACGGAACGAAGAAATGGACTGCGCAGGTGTTGGAAACAAAGCATCCAAATGTGAAGCGGGTCTGAAACACTGAATATTTTCCTTCCAGAACCTTCAAACAGGCCACCAGCAGCAACCAAATGGAGCATTAACTGATGATCTGGGAACTGCGTTCTGTCACACTGGACATGGAAACGGAGTATTTCTGGTGGTTATGTGTCAAGGGCCTCGACGCCCAGGGTAGCCGGCCCTTGGCTACGGAGGTTGTAGCCGCGGTCCGTGTCGCCTCCGGTGAGGTTTTGCCCCTCCACCGTGAGTTTGGTTAGAGAGAAGAGAGAGATTAGGGATAATGATCTTTCTTAATTTGCAAAGTGCCGGATACAATACTAAATAGCCCATGGCTGGAACTGCCATGCCTACAATTTAGGAAAGCCAACAAACTAATAGGAAAGCCAAATAACTAATTGCTACTTGCTAAACTTAGCCACTAAACGGTGGCCTTCCCAGCCGAGAGCTGGGCGCGCTCTGGCCTTGGCGCCAAATCACGCCGCACGGCGTCTCACGTCTGGCGCTTCCCCACATGACATCTCCCCCTTCCTCGAGAGCCAGCGCGTCCTCGAGCTGGAAATCTGGGTACTTGGCGGAGAAAGCGTCGACGTCTTCCCAGGTTGCCGAGGCAGGCGACTCGCCCTTCCAGTGAATCAGCACCTGGCGCACACCGCGCGCTAGGCGCGTCTTGACGGCGCGTTCTGGCTCCGGAATAACAGCACCATGGCGGACAGCAGGGAGCGGAGGTGGTGCATCCGACGGTGAGCCATGGAACGGCTTGAGTAGCCCAACATGAAACACGTCGTGTGACGGGCACGCGCACGCGGCGGCGAGCGAGGCGAACCACGGCGTCGTTGATGAGCTCGGTGACGCGGTAGGGCCCGAGAAGAAGCTGGCGTAGCTTGCGGTACGTGACGGATCGGGGCATAGAGGCCGTCGGTCGATGGCGTGGCGGAGCAAAGCACCGAGCCCCCACCTTGTACAAAGACTTGGCGGTGGTTCTTGTCGTAGTGATGTTTACGGACCACTGAGCTTGCTCGGTGAAGCGCGGATGTCGGCGAGGAATTCATCCGCGCTTCAATGATGCGACCGCCACCCTGGTCTCTCCCGGCGTGTAAGACCGGATGGATGGGGGATCCCGGCCGTAGACGACGCGGAACGGCGTATCCCGCAGCGACGACTGGTAGGCGGTGTTGAAGACGTACTCCGCCCATGGCAGCCACTGGAGCCACTGCCTCGGCCGGTCCCCAGTGAGGCATCGCAGGAACATGATGATGACGCGGTTGGCCGACTCGGACTGCCCGTCGGACTGGGGGTGAAAGGCTGTCGTCATGTGGAGCCGGGTGCCCACCAGTCGCATCAACTCGCGCCAGAAGGTGGAGGTGAAGACCGTGTCCCTGTCCGACACGATGGACTGTGGCACGCCGTGGAGACGAACGATCTCGGCGAAGAAGACTTGGGCGACCGACTCCGCGGAGTATGGGTGGGACAGCGGGATGAAGTGGCAGTACTTGCTGAACCTGTCCACCACCGTCAAGATGACGGACTTCCCCCGGACCCGAGGCAGCGCCTCCACAAAGTCGAGGGCGATGTCAGACCACACACCTTGGGGCACGGGCAGCGGAAGGAGGAGGCCTGCCGGATGGAGATGTTCCGACTTGTAGCGCTGACATGTAGGACACGCCCGCACCCAGTCCTGCACGAGCTGTTTCATGTTAGGAAAATGGAAATCTCGCCGCAGTCGATGCAGCGTGCGTTGAACGCCTTCGTGTCCTTCCGCGTGAACGGCTGCCAGCAGCTCGGGCAGTAAGGGCGAGGCCGGTGGGATGTACAACCGGCCGCTGAACTGGACGAGGCCATCCACCAGCGCCCATGGGGAGCCTCTGGAGCCCGCGGCGAGCTCTTCCTGGAGGGCGACGAGGGCAGGGTCAGAGGCCTGTGCCTGGCGAAGCCTGTCGATGAAGTCAAAATGTGGAGCCGATAGCGCCAGGATAGCGCCCTCCGTTGGTGTATCACGGCGTGACAGCGCGTCGGCCACCGCATTCGCCTGGCCCGGCTTATATTCGACTGTGAAGTCGAAGCCAAGCAGCTTCCCCACCCAATGGTGTTGAGGTATTGTCGCGAGCCGCTGATCGAGCAGGTATTTAAGGCTGTAATGATCAGTCTTGATGGTGAAGCTCCGTCCCCAAAGGTACGGCCTCCAGTGCCGAACAGCGTGCACGAGGCCGATCAGTTCACGCTCGTAGGCCGCAAGCGCGCGATGGCGAGGTGCCACCGGTCGACTGAAGAAAGCCACAGGGTGGCTGTCCTGGACCATGACGGCCCCGAACCCGTGGGAGGACGCGTCGCACTCGACGATGAAGGGCTTGGAGAAGTCCGGCATGGAGAGAACCGGGGCGGTGGTGACTGCTTCTTTGAGGGCGTCGAAAGCCGCCGAGGCCTCACTAGACCACAGGAAGCCTTCCTTCTTCAGCAGAGCGGTGAGCGGCGCGGCGATGGTGCCGTAATTATGCACGAACTTGCGGTAGTACCCCGCCAAGCCGAGAAACCGCCGCGAATGGCCGGGCGAGCGCGGTGTTGATCCCGCACCGCTGTACCTTGGCGGGTCCATGGCGGCCTTTGCCTCGGAGATGACGCGTGGCTGTGCACGCGACGGAGGAATTGGCGAAGGCACACTTGGCGCTTTGAGGAAGAGTTGTTGGCGCTGGAGCTCGGCCGAGGACGGCGCGGATGTGTCAAGGTGGTCCGCCCATGTTTTCTTTGTAGATTAGGATGTCATCAAAAACACAAGAACGAACGGCGGCGGAGGAACGGGCGGAGGACGTCGTTCATGGCGCTCGAACGTCGCCGCGCTGCTGCACAAGCCGAACGGCATGACCGTAAACTCGTAGAGGCCGTCGTGGTGCGGAAGGCGGTCTTGTGGATGTCGGTGGCCGCATCCGCACTGGTGATACCCCGGCGGAGATCCGGCTTGGTGAAGAACGCGCCCATGGAGCTCATCAAGGAGCTCTCGACGGCAGCGAA